AATAAGAAACGAATTAATTGACTGATCTGTCATTCTTTGGTAATAGGTATATTGAATTTGGGGGCTCTAATCAATGGGCGATATAGCCCAATCCTAGAGAATTACTAGAAGGTGTGAGAGCTGGGAAGAACAGGTATCTGTTAAAATCGAGTCACAATGACCTTAACTGCTGCTGCCGTTGCCCTGGAGTGACCTGGGAGTTCTGAGGGGCTCCAGCTCAGTGTTTCTAAAACCTGGCTCAGGTTTGGATTCTCTTATTACTGTCTTTAAGGATTAGGGGCTCATCAAAGGTAGTTTCTTACCTGTCCCAGACAACGCCTAAGGGTTAGTGAAGAAACTTAGAGGTAAATTTTTATGTCTTTTTTAAAATTGACTTTGAGAGACAGAGAGAGGAAGGGGGAGAGAGACAGACAGACAGACACATTTGTTGTTCCACTCATTTACGAGTATATATTCATTTGTTGATTCTTGGATGTGCCCTGCCCAGGGATAGAACCTGCAACCCTGGCATATCAGGAAGACACTTCAACCAACTGAGTTACCCGGCCAGGGCAGAAGTAAATTTTATAGGGCAATTCATGGTAATATTTCCCAAACATTTCTGCATGTTAGCATGTATGTTGTACACTAATAATTTGGGCCAAACTATGTGAATTGTTGAAGAAATATGAATATCATAATCATTTAAATAAGAAAGCTCATCAACAGAAATTGCAAATTCGGAAACTGTAAGGTCATTAAATTTATTACATATAAACATTATTTAAAACACTAGAAATAATAAGTACATCATTTTTTATTTCAAATCTTAGCCTATTTTTATCTGTGAAGATTACCTATAATAGCAACCAAGGTAGATGGCATTATATTAGCTCTTATTTTGCATTTTGAAATATCTTGCTTTTGTTGAATTTTCTGACAACTTCATATAGTGTTTGCTGGTGCAGGAAATAATATGAAGCCCACAAAATCCTCCATTAAAAGTCTATGGAGATCTCTGTTATCAACAGGGGAGTGGGAGGGGGAGGGAGGGGGAAAAGGTACAGATAGTAAGTAGCATAAATGTTAGTAGAAATAGACAGGGGGGAGGTTAAGAATAGTATGGGAAATGTAGAAGCCAAAGAACTTATATGTACGACCCATGGATGTGAACTAAAGGGGGGGGAATGTGAGTGGGAGGGGATGTGCAGGGCAGAGGGGAATAAGGGGTGGGGGAGTGGGGCAACTGTAATAGCACAATCAATAAAATATATTAAATACTTTTTAAAAAAGTAAAGTAGCTTACTATACACCAAAAAAAAAAAAGTCTATGGAGAAAACCAAGCTGTGGGTTTTTTTTTCCTCCCAACTCTCTTCGATTTTCAGCAACTTGTAACCCAAAAGCTATTTGTGCACAATATCTTTCTACCCTGTGCAGATGTTCGTTCCACTCCTTTTCAGTCAACATGTTTCCTGGTCTTACATAACCTCAGCCTCACACCAAGGAGGGAATTGTTTTAATCTCTCCCTTGAGAAGGCTCTGTTGCCTACGATGAGGAAAATACTTAATGACCACTTTACTCAATACGCGCAATATGTTTTAATATGATTACTGATATGAAAGTTTAATAAGCAATATCCTGGTTAATTTATTAATTTCCCTCGATTTTCATATTTTCAATATTCATGACCCTTCTATTCATAAAAGTACATCTTTTTTTGTTGTTGTTGTTGGTGCCCAGGTGTCATGCCACGTTTTCTATGTCTCAGGCTGCATAATGGGAATGTCCAAGTGACATCTCCTGCCTGGCTGGTTGATAATTAAAATGCCAGACAGTATAGTGGTAAGGGCTTTCAAAATGTGTATGTGTAATAAATTATTAATTTATGTTCTATTCAAGACAATTGCACTATGATAAACATTTACTTATCTTGATAATCACATGGGGCCATTTGTGGTGTATAGAAATTATGCCATAGATTTTCTTCTCATTTTTCTCCCCTATGATGATTTTCAACTAACTAAATAAACCCTTAGCATTTATGAGCCTGCAGAATTTGGGCTGTATTTTTTAAAATCCTAGTTTAAATAGTTAAAAGCTTATAAGTAACCAAAATGAAAAAGGATCAGCAAAACAACTAAAACTCTTTCTATGCCCACCTGTTAGCCACTTGTTATTGAAAATGTCTGAGGTGAAAAGAATCTGCTTTGGGACCACAGCTACACAGATGAGACCTTAAGTAAATAATTTAGAACAGTGTTCTCATTCTCTGGGGCAATACATGGAGGCGGCGCGGGCCACCTTGTTGGTTGGAGACTTTATCTTCAATTAGGCAAATGAAACAGAGGCAACATTATATTCCACCAGCCCTTTAAAATACAAATAGTGTGTCTCATTCACTTCAGAAATGATACTGATGAGCAACCACTTATAAGGATGCTTGGTCTCAAATTGTTTTTAGAGATGGATTCACTTCCCTACAATGGTGTTCAACATGTAAAAAAAATGCAGAGGAAGTCCACAATTTTGATGTGGGGAAAAAAAAAGTAAACCAAGCAAAACTAAGAAGCAAAAACACTTTATGCTTCAGAATGATTTTTTTAAAAGATTTTATTTATTTTTAGAGAGAGGAGGGGAGGGAGAAAAAGAGGGAGAGAAACATCAGTGTGTGGTTGCCTCTTGCACACACCCCACTGGGGACATGGCCTGCAACCCAGGCATGTGCCCTGACGGGGAGCTGAACCAGCAACTCTTTGGTTTGTAGGCCAGCACTCAATCCACTGAGCCATACCACCTAGGGCCAGAGTGATTTTTTTTTTAATTGATGAAGAATGAACAATTTTGAACCTAGTCTATTAGAATACTAGTTTTTTGTTATTTCACAATTCTGTGTGCAAATTCTTAGCCACATGTACTCTACACATGTAAAAATAATTTTATTGAAGTTCACAGACTTTGCTCTTGAGATATTTTAAGTATAATCATAACTAGCATAAAGAATATGTCCTTATCTGTGTAGGCCCTAAAGCTCCTCCGTGTTTGGTAATCTGAGATATGTTAAAATGCTAAAATTACTTATGAGAGAAGAGGAGGAGGAGGGGAAGACCAACTTGTCCTTTGTGTTCAGAGTTGATCATTAATCAATGACCAGAAAATATCAATCTTAGTGTCTTATTGGTATTGGAGATTAGTATTGATTTTAAATTTACTTCCTTCTTGGAGATTTTTTATCTCAGAAACAAATTTTTTACTAATATTTCAGGTTGCTTAGCACAAGTGGAAGTAGAATTACTTGAGGCAGAACTGACTTAATTTTAGAAAGAATCAGTGCTTAGATTTTATAACATTTTCTGGAAGACATTGTCACCTGTTGCTTCTGAAAGCATAACAAGAAATCTGGATTTTCTTAGAGTCACCAGTAGGGAACATAGACATCTTACCATGCTCTTTCCTTAAGCGTGCATGCACACAGACACACACTGGTTCACATTTCTCTAGCTTCTTCGCATGGCCTGTTTTATTCTCATTCATAAAGACATCTCTAATCATAGTAACATGACACCCAAGTTGCAGAACTATGTAATGGCATACTGCTTGAGGGTTCCTTGTAGTAAAATTGCCTTCCTGATATTTTGAATGGTGATTACCTTCTTAGAGTGCTGATAACTGTGGGATGCTTGTTTCTGTAAGTGACATTTGCTTCACTATTTTAGAATGTATGACTTTATTTTCAAAGATTGCCTAAGTTATCCTGAAGATTTCTGGCAAATCAGGACATGGTATATTCCTCTTGCATCAGATGCCTTTTATAGTTAAGCCATCCATTTACAAATCTGATAGCGCTTCCTTTGAATGAATTGTCCCCCTCAGTGGAAATGTCCTTGGCATCTACTTTTCATGATTTGGGGGTTGCCCCATCTGTTTTAAAATACAGAGGTTAACATGTCAGCTTTTCAAATCAGGGATGATCCTAGGCCCTGATCTCATAATACCCTGAGAATGGATGTTAGCTGGGAGTGTAAAGAGATGCTTCCGTGTGACAACCTAGCAAGTGTGCGGGATGGAAATGGGTCTTTCTTTGCCCAAAGTACTACCTGCAGTGTTCCAACTTCGGCCTCTGGCCCTTTTCTCATGGTCATACTAGTTTTCTCTACTTTTGTCAACTTTTTCCTTGTTGTGTGTGTGTGTGTGAGTGAATTCTGTCATCAGAGCACATAAAAACACTAATTTCCTCTCTAAAGTTTTCTGTTTGGTTAAGCCACACACTAAGAAAGTTTCTGAGCCTGCATGGCATTCTCCAGTGTGTGCTCTGGCCCCTCACCGGATGTGACTACATTTCCATTCCTTTCATGGGATTAGAGCTTCCCCCTCCAGGGCGTCTCATAAAAATGTTTGGGTGCCCTCTGGTCCATAAGCAGGGATACCTACTCTGTGGTTTAGACGCTGTCAGAGGGTTAACACAGGTTATAGCCATTTGCTTTGTGTTTTTTTTTTAATTTCTATAACAAACCTCTATTGAAAACAGTGGCCGGTCACATAGAAATTCAGCCAAACTTTTTTTTTTTAAGTCGATGTAAATCTCCCATGCTGTTTAAATGTCGGAACTAAATTTACCACACTTGGCAGATTTTTAAAGCCGAGCAGGACTGCCAAGTGTTCCCAATTTCAAGCAGAGAGAGTTCTAACAGTTCCTGAAATACTTGTAGGAGGCACCTGGTGGTAATTGCAGCTTCACAATTCTTCCCCAGCGCCTACCTTGCTAGCTGGCATCTCTGTACACCAATGATTATTACAGCGATGATAAAGTGTCAGAACAGAATGGTCCAAAATAAGGCATAGCCCCCCAAAGGCAAGCATGTTCCTACCAAACTGCCTTCTTGCTGGAGAATCCTCAGGAGTTAGACCTAGGTTCTTGACCTCACAGCCAGCTGGTTACAGCAAACAAATAAAAGGGGAGAAGGGTGGAAGACAGAAACACACACCTGCAGATATGACTCGGCCTATTTTTAATTTAATCAGGGATTGTTGTCCGAGATTCTCCGTAAGGAAGAAGACCCTCGGACAGCTTCTCAGTCTCTTTTGGTAAACCTGAGGGCCATGCAGAATTTTCTCAATCTTCCGGAAGTGGAGCGGGATCGCATATACCAGGACGAGAGAGAGCGGAGCATGAACCCCAATGTGAGCATGGTCTCGTCGGCCTCTAGCAGTCCCAGCTCCTCCCGAACCCCTCAGGTGAGATATTTGCTCCATTGACTTTTCAGTCTTTGCCTTGGAAACAGCTTGTCTTCACTGATACTGTGTTTTTCCTTGAACACTAAAAGAACTAATTCAAGGATTTCTTAATCTACCAAACATGTTGATAAGAGGATATAAAACCATATAAAATTGGTTGTCTTTTACTGTATCACATGTCAGTTTTTATCCGTTTAGGAACAGAAAGTGTCCTTCTTCCACACATCGCAGGAGAGCAGAAGTGGGTGGAGGGGTTGCGGTAGGCTAGCGATGTCTACATACAGCTGCTCAGTTATCCGAGGAGTTAGAGGACTTGTGTTGAAGCTGAGTTTGCATAGCAAGCACAGTGCTTTTCCTGCAATTGCACCTTTATTTGGATGAGGGTAAGGTAGCTGGGGCAGGGGACTGACGAGTAGTCCAAGCTCTGCTTTGTGCACTCCAAGAAAGACAAAACGGGGGCGGAATCTGTGTGTCATGGAAGCACGCACGTGCCACAGCTAGGTCAGAATGACTAGGTCATTCAGTGATCCCTGGTTAGACAATGCTAGTGCAAGGCTAAGTCTTCATTATTTTGTTTCCTAGGGCGCTCTCTCCCAGGATGCTATGACTCAGCTTTCCATCCCTCCTTTCTCCACAATTTAAACGCATTCTGCTCTCAGTTCCTCCTGTGAATGCACGAGTCTATTAATGCTGTGTGCTTCGAATATCCTAACTGGAGGGTCAAAGGCCCAAGTCAATCAAGAGTCATTTTCAGTTCAGATCTGAGCCCAGTCACTTCTAGCCCACTGCCTGTTTCCCTTAAACTTTTACATCTCGCTAGCTTTATGAGACTGCCATCACATTTTACAGTTGCTAGGAAGATTGCACACTCCCTGAGTGATGATTCTCAAAACCCTTCACAAATACACATTTGTACAAATCAGAGAAATGGGTATTTTGAAACCAAAGGATGTTTTGCTTAGATACTATAGGGTTTTTTTTTTAATGAGTTTGTTTTCCGGTAAGTTCAAAGGAACTGATTAAACATATAAGCAAAATTTTATTCTAGTAGAAATATTTGAGCTTTTTCAAATTCATCCATTTTTTCACACATCTTAACTTTTTATGATTTTGCACTCTGCAATAGGCTTTTAATTGAAGATCATTTTCTATCATGCGCTGCCAAACTGTGATACTTACACTTTAGTCTTCAGTGAATTATGAGTTTTAATTACTGTTAAACTAAAAATAAGTCTCCTGACTGCTTGCTTTGGACGACTGTAACCAAGCGTTTTTATAGGATTCTTTTTCACTTTTGGGACATACATATTAAACTATTGAGTTGGGTGAGTTGTTAATTTGCACTAATATTTACTTCTGTGAAATTTACCAATATTTTTGCCACCTTTGAAGGCCATTAAGACATTACAGGAGAGTCTAGCCACGGCTGTTTAACCAGACAGTTTTTCCCATAAAGTCACTTCCACTTGTCAGAAAATTACACAGATCTGTGTGCTTTAATTTTTTGCTCCTTCATAATGTTTTTCTAGCAAGATATCTTAGTCATCTTGCAAAGACCTGATAGCTTTGAGAGACAGACCAACCTACAAAACCACACAGGGTCAGTATTTTACTTTTGTCAATAGTACAAAATCCCATCTAGAAAATTCCTAGGTAAAGGTACCATTTTGAGACAAGTATAACAGGGAAATTAATTATTTAATTTAATAATTTTGAACTTTATGAAAACAAATATAAAATATTTTACTCAAAATATTTTTGAGAATACAGCCATGGCACTGGCTTTTTACATTCTCTGGAACACCCTTATTTTTCTGTTGGTTTAATGTTGGGAAAGGGGAAGTTATTAAAGTCTTTTGAAATATTTCATGATTACCTACTTACTCAACGTTCTTTATAGACATTTCTCAATAGTAAAGATCCATGTTGAGTAAAGCTTTCACGTGAGAACAAATGTTAGAGCAATACCCCCGATTCGGCTGATTAGTTGGAGCCAGCAGCCTAGGGCACAGAGACAGCCTTCCATACGTGCCTGGAGATTACTTTCCATACCCCATCGGTATTTTATTATTAGTTTAAAACAAATTGAAAAAAATTCAAATATAAAATTAAATCTCCAGAGTCTCTTCTCATAACCCTTCAATTGGCCAGTGTTCTTTGATGCACTTAGTAATAACAAAACAACAATACGAGGATAAGAATGATCATTTGTTGAGCACTTTCTGTGTGTCAGGAATTGTGAGCCTTTTGCACGAATTGGATCTTCAACAATTCACAAATGTTACCCCACCAAATGGGGATAACATTTTTCACTGTTATTCCCATTTTACAGATGAGCAAACTGAGGCTTAGATGGATTAAATACCTTGTATAAGGTCAGATGACTGAGTGGTAGAGCTAAGATTTGAACTCTGGTTATTCTAATTCCAAGACCTGGGCTCATAACAGTATATTTTAGTGCTTTGTGGGCTCTCATTTTAGCTCCAAGGTTCTGGAGAAGATTTGACCAGTCAGATAAGATAGTGAGACTAGTAAGAAACTTGAGTTGAAAAAGGCAGAAATAATGCTAAAGGCATGCTAAAGCACACACTCACCAGGAAAAGTACTGTGGATAAGCTAGAAATTTTGAGGAGAAAAAGGAATTTCTTGAAACAAAACAAAACAAAACAAAACAATTGGATTATTATGGGGAGAAGACTCCAAAGTAGAGGGCAAGCAGATACCTGTAGAAATAGCACCTGTAAAAACTGGAGATTTTGGAGGCTGATCAGCACAGAGGCCCTGAAGTAAAATACTTTTTGGAGTGTCTGACACATAGAAAGTATGGCCTCAATTATTTTTATTTTCTTGTAGTAATTAGAAAATAGTATGGGACAGGGAGGTCAAAGGAGAATGAAAAAAATCACTGAGTGCTCTTAGGAATCAAAGCCTTCATGGAAACCAAGGACATTAACTCTGGCTTCAGCACAGCATTGAGAATGGTCCCACAGTGCCCCGACTCTGTGCCCCGTCTCCCCTCAAACCTGCCTGTGCTCAGTCTGTAGGGGGATAGCTCAGGGCACCCACAGAGGAACAGTGGTGATTTGGGGGCTACTCTCTTGGTTTGGAATTAAGGGTGAGTGAGGACATAAAAAATCCACTGTAGACCAAATCAGCTGGGAACCCAAGGATTGGGGGAGACTCCTGCTGCCATGTTCCTGAGAAGGTCCCCAGCCCCCTCTCCTTACACACCAGAGCAAGTGCTCTGACCGTCTTCTGGATCAAGTAGCTCCAAATGCTGTGGGTTATCCAACCCCAAGAAACACAGACACCTTCTGTCTTGTCCTTCATTTGTCTCTGAAGCTGATGGGAAATCATTCAATTAAAACAAGCACGGCAGAATACATAAAACCACAATATGAGTTTAAGAAAATGAAAATGCCACATCAAAGGCATTCTGAAGCCTAGTTTTATGAAATGAAATTTTGTTTCATTTCCACTGATTTCCTAGGTGAAATTAGGTGACTGTCTGGGTAGCATAATGATGATAATGACGGGAAACTATACATACTCGAATGACACACGTAAAGCTTTAATAAAGGAGGAGAGAGACTCAGGAGAGTGCATTAAATTGAGTAATAATTTATTATTTAGAGACCTCTACCCATTCACTCATTTTTTTTCTGGAAGAATTGGCTCTTCCTCCAAGGTGTGCCATTTTCAGAAAGAAAAAGGTAACTGTATGTGTGTGTTCACGTGTTCTGCCTGCTTGTCCTGCAGCGAGGTGATGGCTTTTCGTTACAGGGTGGCCATGCTACCTGTGAACTGTCTGGGATTCTGTGAGGGATGGAACAGGGTTTACAGGACTCCTCATGTCCTATAGGAATGCACTGCAATTATTTCCAATCACAATTAACCTGATTAGAATAATGGACAGGAAGTGTCCCTCTGTAGCTAATGCAGTTTGGCATCAGCTGACTGAAATCCTTTGATAATTTCTGCACAGATGGCTGGGCTGAATGCGGCACTTTTTAAATGATTATTTTCATGGTCTCTTGGTAGGCCAAAACCTCGACACCGACAACAGACCTCCCCATTAAGGTGGACGGCGCCAACGTCAACATCACAGCTGCCATTTATGACGAGATCCAACAGGAGATGAAAAGGGCCAAGGTGTCTCAAGCCCTGTTTGCCAAAGTGGCTGCAAATAAAAGTCAGGTGAGTGGTTTTTAAAAGAGCAAAAGTGAGAGCTGGAATTAGGCTATTCTCCCCCTCCCACCAATAAAAATACATCTGTTCCTATAATAATAATAACAATAACAATCCCTAGGGAACCTGTCATGTTCCGAGTTTGGCTCTACAGTTTGCTTTTATTCCCACTGGAGTTTAAAAAATAGAGACTAAGTCAAAACCCAGATTTTTTGTCTTCTAAAGAATTTTTTAAAAAGAATCAGCCTTGAATAATTTCTGAGTCTAAATACTACCATGTCTTTCTTTCTTTCTTTCTGTGTTTTGGGGTTTGTTTGTTTTTTTGTTGTTGTTTTTTTTTGTTTTTTGCATTGGAGCAAAACTCGGTATGTACAAAACAGTATTTTTTGAGACCACACTTTAGCTAGGTGTCATTGCCTCTCCTATGCCCACCAGGGGAATGGCTGACTTTGTTATAATAACTGCTTTCCCTTGGCCCCAGAGACATCTTGTGATGTCAGGTGTTTCTTTTATGTATAGAATACAGTTGTTTTTCCAGGAGAAAACACACGTAGGGGAGTCCAGGGCGAGTGCTAAAATCTTTAACAGAAAAACATAGAAGCTTATCCAGCACAGTGTTTCAGAGTGCTGGGATTGTGGGTATGGAATGCTCCAGGGAAAAGGGTAGACAGATGCTTAGGTTTCTTTCTTTCTTTTTTTTTTTTTTAATTTATGAAAGCAGCAACAGTTGATGGGATCTACTATCTGTTTCAGTTCCTTTAAAGGGACAACTACCACCCTATAGCATAGGATGGATTAGGTTGAGATGCCTACTTATTTATCCCTAAGATGAATAATTACCTAATGCATGCTGGAGGAAAAAAAGTTTGTTGAAGCATAATGTCGAGAGTCCTTTGATTCTGAGCTTGATTTCCTCTGTGACCCTTCATGGCAAACATTTTCATCCCTGCATATGTCAGTGGCAAAATGGCCCATCATCCCCCAGCAGATCTTCTGTCATATGCTATAAAGAAAGAACATTTCTGAGTACTGTGTTTCTATTAAGCAAGAAGGTTTTCAATAAAAATCAAGTTTTAAAAGTGATATATAGTTAAATGTTATATTTAGACTAATTATATGGTTTGGGGATTAGCCTTTTTTACCTATAGCTTGGCAGTAACCTGGCTTAAGTTATTTTTCAGATGTTGATAAAGGGAAAGGAGTAGAATATCAAGAAACTTTGAAGAGGATGGAAATATTTGTTTCCCTTTTCAATTTTAATGTCATAATCTTCCCAGATTCTTATTATCTCTCATCAATGAAATCATTGAAATGCAGTTTGCTAAGGTTTGATGTCCAATCATAGTATGAAATACATGAAAAGAAAATACCATGGAGCCTTCCTAAACTGTTAAATGCATAAAATCCCGTGTACCACATGGCAAAATATAATGAGAGTTGGAGCTGTTAAACGAATAAAGCTGTTAAATGCATAATGCCACTTGGCAAAACTACTGTGCATTTAATGGTTTTCCACTGTGTAATAAAGGACATATGTGGTAAATGTGCAGTGAGTATAAAAGCTACACAATTGATTTTGCAAACCTGCCCCTTAGTTGTGACTTGACATAAATATCAAAGTTTTACTCAGTCCATTTTTTTAAATATAAGAAGCTTTCACGACAAACTGAAGACCACAGTCTGAGAACTTGATTCAAAATGCCTGTAATCTTCCTATTGACTGGGCACCATGGCTTCTGGAAATAGTGATGCCTGTAGCCTCCAAAAATAATTTGGGTGGCTCATTGAAAGCTGTGTTTGCCAGTTGGCCCAAATTTAGCTCTCCAAATTTTTGATGCCTCCTAAAGAACTCAGTAGCCCTGATTTTGTAGAATCTGGAGGAAAATGTAGTTCTGGAAATTAATGTGCTAAAGGATGAGGTTGAGCCTAAGTAGGGATGTGGTGCTTTGAAGTTTTTCTTTTTTCCTTTGGGACAATGGTCTCATTCTCATTTATGAATGGGGAACATTATTGTAAATAGCTGACTAGATTGGCAATCCAGGTGCTGAGATTTTTTTTAAGTGGTAATTTAACATAAGACATTCATTCCATTTTCTAAGTACCAGGTTTAGATTCATAAAAATCATACTTAGTGAAGCCAGTTGCATGATTTGGTATTTTGCACGTGTATTTGGTGGATATCCATAAGGTATAGATATACATGGCTAACAGTGGGACCCTGGCCGAAGTACTTAATCTCTCCAGGCTGCAATGGGAAGTGGCCACAGCCTCTTCTTTGGATTGTAGGACTAAGAGAACAAAGGGTTTCCCCTCCTCACTTCCATTCTCTTCTCTCCCTTTATCAGGTTTCTTTGGAGGTGTCGGAAGTTCTTAGAGTGACTGAACAGGCAGATGAATAGTAAGGGCTCTCCATTCTTCCTTGGAGGTGAAATCAGGAGAAGCTTTAATTAGAAACTCTTATGAAATGGACTAGGCTTGGAACCTTGAAGGCCCAGTTCAAATATACATCATGATCCCTCCCCTTCCATTTTAAATATCTTTTAAAATAGAAATAAACCCTCCATTAAACCTCATTCACTCCTTGGTGTCAATTGTTGTCATCAGCTGTTAATAGTAATACTTAATACCGTGTGAGGGACAGGCTTTGAATGGAAAGTAGGAAAAAGAAAGGACAATTTTGGAGAGATTATGGGTAGTGGGCCAAGACAGTCCTTGAGGGCTGTAAGTGTTTAGTGACACAATGGGAGGAGGGGTTCAGAAAAGGAGTTGAAAGAGTGAAAGACTAACGCAGTTCTGCCTATGGTCTTGTTGGTGGAAATACATTACTGGAAAGTGTGTGTTTCCTTGGTGGGTAGGTTACGTCAGGATGCATTTGTAGGGCTGTAGACCACCTCTTCCTCCAGGTCAGCTCCAGCTCCTTTGTCCAGTCTGTCCTCCAAACCCGTTAGCTCTTCCTGTCTGACTCTTGCCCCTGTCTTCACAGGAGAAAAGTCAGAGTAGGAATGGCAGAAGATATAAATAAGAGGGAAAAGTATGCGTACCTTTCACCTTTTACTTTTCTTCATTTTCAATTTAGGATTGATTTTACGTTTGTGTGTATGTGTGAGTGTGAATTCTAGGATTATCTTCCTTTTCTTTCTACAGAATATTCAGATTGTTGGTTTTCATGCAATAGGAGGCACTATGGTCAATGATTGTTCTCCATGAAATGGGAGTGAGGGTTCTTAGTAGGAGCCATAATGTAGAGGCACATAGAACATTTCTGCTTAAGTTCTTTATGACCCTTAAATACAAAGGACCACCAGGAAATGACCACTCCAGAGTGCAGTCTGAGTGGCCTCCTTGTCCCTTGGAACTCCTTGTCCCTCGATAGCTTCTTGTAACCTTCCCATCCCTCTTACGTTCTGTAGGGTTGCTCTCCCCCAATTGCAGCTTTTCACCTGCGATCTGGGAAGTGGAAATCCAGAGAGAGGAAACACAGTGACCAGTGGGCTCTCCCGCTGCAGTCCTCCAGGGCTGGCCCCGTGCTTTGTGACATAATCTTCAGTGCCATTTCTTACCCTTGGCATCAGCTGCCCCTTCCCCCAAACACTAACTCACTGTTTATCTCATGTCCTTCCCATTTCTCTTGTGTTGTAGCCTACAGTAGTTCTGTTCATAGAATGCTGAGGATGACCTAAAGTTGGTTTTCTTTTGGAAGTCTTTCTTTATTATTTGTATACCCAAAGTCTCGATTCCACGTGTGTGACTGTCTTTTCTTGCTAGGTTTGGGTAGATAAGTGCTCATTTTATTTTAATCTCTATTTTCCCTTGTGCCCATTAAAACAATAAACAAAAACTTCACAATGGTACTGGGTTTGCTTTTATTTGGGACCAGGGGTGGCAGCTTCCTTTCTGTGTTTAGAAGGTAAAGAAAAGCAGAGACACTGAAAAGAGAAAATATCAAGCTGGTCGTGAACCTCACGCAGATGGGGTAATCAAAAGGCAACCCCAGGGCCTGATGGGACAAAATAAAGGGAGTGATCTGGGAGTAAATAGGGCCCCATAGGGATGTCAGAAGAGATGATACAAGGATGCCCTCATTTCCACCAATATTTAAGGACCTCTGCCAATCCTGGAGTCCCTTTCCCTGCCACACACACCTTTCCAGGCCCACAAGCTACAGGAGCTACCACTAGGGTCAGGGGTAGAAAGGTCCTTATTCTTGTTACTTACAGAAGCAACAAAGGAAGGCACCATTGTGTTCCCACCGCAGCTGGGGGAGATGACTTTCTGGCCTCCAATATGGAATCTAAAATCATTTCCCTCATAGAAGCTGTATTCTCCATGGAGATTGGGTTTCAGTATGTTGTGTTTCATGTACATTAGTATCAAGTAGGTTCTGTGTACTGATCTTTATTTCTTATCACTATGTTTCTACCAAAAAAATAATTGCCTGTTCTCACCTACTTACTTAAATTATATTCTTAAGTAGAAAGCTGTTTATGCTTTAGATGTAATTTACAGGCTCAGATTTTATGGTCATACTACTTTTTTTTAATCCTCATTTGAAGATAAGCTTATTGATTTTAGAGAGAGGGGAAAAAACATTGAAATGAGAAAGAAGTATTGATTGCCTGCCTCTTGTATGCGCCCTGACCGGGACTGAGCCCTCGGCCTAGGCATGTGCCTTGACTGGGAATCAAACCCATGACCTTCTACTTTGTAGGACAATGCACAACCAACTGAGCCACACCAGCCAGGGCAGTGGACACACTTCTTTATTGTAAAATTTGTCCTTATAATGGTCTACTTTGCTCAACAGGCTAAATGATTTATTAAAATATACAGTTCTCTTTGGCATGTCCTTTTGAAATAAAGCAAAAATAAAGGAAAAACAGACAACTTTACATAAAGAAAAATAATGGATGTATTATTGGGTTTGTTTTCTTTTATTGCTCTTTGCTATTAGAGTTTATATCACATTCAGTATATATGCTAACATACCTCTTCTCATTCAGTCATGGGTT